GGAAACCTGCAGGTTTGCTCTGAAGTTTTCAAGAACAGTCCCTGGTCATAAAGCAGCTTTGGAGTTAGGTAGGTTCTCTCAGTCTGTGTTATTGCTGCAACTCTCACCTTGTACATCTGAGTATATAAAACACAGAGAAATCCTGAGGCCACACACACTCAGGAGTAACAAACCACATCCTCAATTGTCAGACAGTGCTGGATCCACAACATCTGTGTCATTTTTGCCTCATCTTTCTCAAATGTCTCCAGCCTCACCAGAGCAGCTAATCTAGAGGTCTGCTGTTTTTCACCATTAGGAAGATTTTACTGTGTTTGCCTGCTTTGTTGGACTCTACAATGAATAAACAATAAACTGAAAACTGAATGCAAGTTATGCTATTTGTTTAACATATGCTAAGGAGATGCCTATTTTATGTTGTTCTATATTGTAAAGTAGCTGTTTTGGGGTAGTTGTCAAAATATAAGGCAGTTTTATTTCATAAAGCCACATTATTCACCTCCACTTTTAAAGACTTCATAAAATGTTTGGTTACTTCTCACAGACAAATACCTCCAAATGAGGATTGGTAAAGGATATTACTGTCTGAGACTGACTCATTCCTCACATCTTGTTATCCTTTTTCACTGCATCAGTTGGAAATTAGTACAGCATTTATTTTCTCATCTCTTGGTGATACTGTTATCAAAATAAATTATGTATGTGTTTTTCATTTAGCCACTACATAACCATGCCACTCCTCCAGACTGCAACCACAGAGCAGAGGCAGACACTCAGTTACATTCTCAACTATCACGTAAGTCTTAGCATAGGAAAATAATGCTGATAATGGAGGGGCTACAGTCTATTCATTACATACATCCATGTTTTTATCCAGTCCTGTGAAAGGACAATAATCAGGTGGAATTAAGGCCTTTTTAGTATGCATTGGCATTTTTTATGAGTCTATATCTAATTCTTCTTTCAGCAGAAAATTAAAACTAGACTTTTCAGGTCATCAGACTCAAATTTCTAAATTTCCTGGAATTACAGTTGAAGCTGGAATAAGAAACCACACAAGGACTGACATGACAGAAAATCTATTTGTGATTGTATTTATATGTTAGAACGTCTTTAATATCATCATACATCCAATTCTTATTTTCAGCATTGTGAGTTGGTCCTGAAATAGATCTATGCACTGATCCCCTGATCCTTAGGTATCTCAAAGTTATGCATTTATTTTAAAGATTTTTAATGTCATTGCTCATTTCCCAACATGCTGGAAGTTTCAAATCTTAAAATCTTGTCTGTCAGATGTTTAATGCACAGGGAAAATATAAAATATTTAAAGATTAATATCACTTCTGTGCTTGAGAGTAAAAGTAGTTTTTATTCAAGGGCATTTTAATAGTTTCTCTTCTATGCCATAAAAGAGCTTTTTGATATTTCATCTTATTTAAACTCTTCTTTATTACAAATCTGTCATCATGTTTTCTCAGCCACGAGTTTCACTTGCATAGCAATGTACAAAAGTAATCCGATTTCTCTTCCTGAAAGTGCTTATGCCACATGCTTATCACTCCTATGGGACACAGATTCTTCCCAAATATCTTTAATGAATAGAAAAAGAGTTAAGCACAAGTTTTTCTGTAAGTATGAACACAGATCCTGGTGAGCCAATCATCAAGGCTGTGGCAGAATTTCAGCTCATTATTAATTTTCTCTGGTATTTTAGAAAGATAATACCTACTTTTTGCCTTGTATACCAATAACAAAAAAACTTCAAGCAATTAAAATAGAAAATTTTAATTGTTTACGTGTCACAACTGTAGGCAAGCCTTTCTGTTTTCTGAATATTCAGCCAATAAAACAATATTTATTTACAGTCTGCAATTTTACTCAGCAGTATAGTTCAACACTATTGCAATTACATATTATTAAGACCATGTTAAACTTTATCAACCAAATTAATTGAATCAAGCTACTAAGATAAACACTGAGTTAGAATATAAAATAGCTTATTTGCTATATCATTAATTAAATTAATTCTCAGGAAAAACAAAACCAAAAAAAAACCCCACCCTGCTTGTTCTGATACTGTCTAGCTGTTTAAATGCACATGTGATTCTCAGACCAGCGTCATTAATTTATTTATGCTTGTCTTTGATCAGTTTTCTCTTCTTTCCTATTCAACAAAGTATCTTAAAGGGCTTTCATCTTTCAAAACATTATAGATAAAAGCAGAGTGTTATCTGAGGATTTACTGTCTAATAACAGGAAATGTGCTGGTTTGCACTTCCTTTTGTTTCTCTGTTTAACCTGGTTAGTTTCAGATATGATGAATAAAATGCATATTCAATTAGATATTTTTATATTCAAATGTTGGTAAAAATAATTAATATCTTTGTTTATCTGCTGATAACAAAACGAGGTAACAATTTTTTTTTCCCCTGGGATGTACCTTTGAATGAATGTAAATTGAAAGAGTGTAATTCTTTAAGACATAAGTGCAAATTATTGTTAGAGTATACGATCAGTGATAGAAGATCAGTTTAACAAAACACCTCTGAAAGTTACCACTGAAGAGACATCCTTAAATATCATCTACTGGAAAGCTGGAGGGTTTTATTGTAGCCTTAATTTTATTTAAGGAATGTGCAATATTCCTGTACCACATAAGAAAGCCGTCACTCTGAAAATATACATTCCAAATAGAAAACCAGTTGACAGGGAATTCCCAAGAGGACTCTGTGGAGGAATACTCTTGAATATATAAACAAGATGGAGGGAAAAAAATAGAAATTAGATTTTTAACCCTGAATAAAGGGTTTTTAAAGGAATCCAGCTTTAAATCACAACAGTTGCAAGAAATTTTGGTGGTTTTTTTTCTTTTTTACAAATAGTATCAGAAAGATATCCTATATGATGTATAAGTATCACCTTAACAAAAAGGGGGATTGGGTACTAAAGGGCTATAGAGGAGATGCAAAGCCATTTTAGTGCTGAGAAGCTGAGGACAGAGTTCAGAATACAAATTAAGGCACATCCATTCGTGGTGACAGTGACTCATCATTGCAGCAGCTGGCCATTCAGTGTGCTGACTCTATCTCTCAAAGCCTTCAGATCAAAACTGGATATTCCCATGGAAGTTATCTCTTAGCCAAACCCAGACACTTAAATCTGTCAGCAGTGAGGCTGGGTAACAAGTTTTAATTAAGCTGAGGAGGAACATTTTTGGACGAAATTTAGTAGCATATATATAGAAGATGCTACAAGGGCATTAACTAACCAGGTGGGCTCCTGTAAATCCATAAGGTGTATATTAGGAGGTAAAATACATTGCCCTCTTTGCCATTGTATAGTTTTTGGCAGCTCATGTTCACATGTCCTGGGCTGCAGGATGATAATTAGACATTCAGCATCATTTCTGCAAAGAGAAATAATGTTTTCTCTGAATCATTCCTGTAGTACATTTGACTTCTCTAATTGGATCAATACTAGATAAAGCAAAGTCATCATGTGGTGTTTAAGGTGTAAATGAGTAAAAGCATTAGAAACTAGGCGTCTATTGCAAACTTTGTAGAGTTACATCATAGGCACTGCTCCCAAACTTAGAGGATTCTAGCTTTTTTTTTTTTTTTTTTTTTGAGATGGGCATTTTTTAAAGAAAATCTGCTATACAAAACCAATCCTATTCCTAGTCATCTGAAGAAAATTCTCAGAATGGAAAAATTATCCCAGTGGAATTAAATCTGAAACTATTTTAGAAGTTTATATGTTGCAATGTCTAAGATGTCTGACATAGGGAAATAGTTACAGTGAATGAAACCACAAGAACCTCCCCTTAAAAACAAGATTAAAAACATGTTTTTAGCAGAGCTTGAATTTACTTTTCAGGTACTTTCTGAAAGCTGTGTTAGCGGTAGTTTTGGGTAAGGTTTTAAATCTCTGCATTAGCAATCCCAAGAAAATTATGCAATTTGCTATATTAATTATGACAATTTACTTCACTCGCTTTGCTGGTAATTAGGGATTTTTTATCTTTATATTAGCCCAGAATTCAACAAACCCTAACTGATTGAGGAAGGGAATACTAATTTAATAATCAAGGATGAAAATGTCATTTGCTCAGTTTTACTCTCTAAATTCTTCAAAATGCTGTTTTACGGAGGAAAGTAAAAACATGGGGGGGAAAGAAGTATTGAAATATTTAAGAGTAGCTATAAATTAAAAATGCATCTGAAAAAAAATATAAATTCTATCTTAATGAAAAAGTAGAATATGTGGATTTTCAATTCATGTTGGAAGCTATCTTCTGTACAAGTGAGAATGCAAGTGGGTGAGGCACAGGTTACACAGGTAACTTCTTTCAGTTTTACATGCAAAAATGCTATCCCTTAGGTCTAGAAGTCATGCAAGCTATCCTGTATATCACTACCATATACAGAACCTCACGCATTTAGAAACAAATGCTGTTCCAAAATAAATGTAAAGTGCTTCACATCAACCTTTTGTATTTCTTTCATTATCAATAACAGTAATAAAATAGGTCAACCCCTGTACATGATTTCTAACTACATATTAATATAAATCTGGTAGATACTTGCTGAATAGGCTTTCAAACAGCTATAAAAGATTTTTCTTAGCCACAGGTTTTTCAATTTTTCGAAATTCTAAAATTTCATACATGCTTTTAGAAATACATGTTTTTAGAAATTCTAAAATTTCATACATGCTTGATTTAACCTCCAATTTTAACTTTTTTTTTTAACTTATTAATAAATCAACTTAAGCCTCATATTTATAAACTAAACACTCTTTGCTTTTACATAAACAGTTGCAGATTGGAAATCCTGAACTTAAGGTAGTCAATACCACATGAATGTTAAAATAATAAGGTACGTGATTCTGAGTTCATTACCCACTGACTTTCATCAACTACTCTCCAGCAGACTGATAGTAGATAATCAGACTATTACAGCATTCCAAGACACTTGTAAATAAACTCTTGACAGAAGTTTCAAGAAAATATATTTATTCAGTTTTGGCAGAGGAAGAGAAAACATAATAAATATGACAATTTTTACACCCTTCTTTACAAGTTATTTTTATATCACATTTCTGCTAAAAAATTCAGGTAGTATTTAAAATTTTAAAATAAGACACTCACTGAAGAAAGAACTTTTACCATGAAAAAAATACATTAGAGTGCGAATGTTTTATCTTATTGTGTCTAGTACTTAATTTTCAAGTCCTTTAGAACAGTGCAAGTTACGTTTTAGTTCAATAACACTGCAAGTATCCAATTAATATGCAGAACTAATACACAGAATTCTGTTACGTGAATAATACAGATGGTATTTTTTCATTATATAACATCAATTCTCCTCTCAACACTGAAAAAGACCGTTCCAAATTTCTGTAATTATGACACTTTTTACAAGCTTTTTACAAATCCCACACTCAAGGCCCCAGCTGCAGCAATATGAATCTAAGTGAACCTCTTCAAAACAAGACAACCACCAAGCACAACCAGTTCCTGTTCTGACATGTTTATACAGCTCCGTGGAGTGCAACTGATACTTTCTCAGCAGAAGCACACACAAGTCCATTGGGATGTTTATTTTCAGGAACAGGAACTGGGGCAGAAGTCCCTGAGATTCTCTAGGATGCCTGTAGGTGTGTTTTGACATCCCTTATGTTTTGCTAATTTTCTCTGAGCTGTCTACTCAAACCAGTTTTCTTTCAATAAAAAGCGTACAGCATCGTCAAAGCCATTTTGGTACAACGATTCCATTTTCTCCTGGTCTGGTGGGAACAAAGCTTGATTAAGCCTTACTAGGTTGGCCAGAGACAGCTGCAACAGAGCAAGAAGCTGTAAATTAGTTTATTAATGCAACTCATCTAGATGTGATTGTTCTGTCATCTGTTTCATGGAGCATATGTAAAGCAAAAAGACTGGCATGGCTGTGTCTCCACCAGGAATTAACCACGTCCAGGGTCACTGCTGAGTGCCAGGACAAACTGGCACCAACAGTCCACACACACGGAGTTATACTCACAGTATCCAAGGCAGGCTGTCTGCCTGTAAAACTGTCCAAAGTTTCTGAAACACTTTAGCTTTGGAAACACTCCCAAAACTGTCTCGCAGAGTGGAAGCTGGCACATGTTAAACTTGTGCAAGGAAATATTTTGACAACTTACTAGTGCAAACAACCACATTCTTGGGAACATTCCCAGGAAATGTTTAACATATGAGTATAAACGTAGCTTCTACTACCAACAAATTAAAAACTACTCAGCATCTTAAGTGGTCACTCTGATCATGTAAAAGGATTTTTGAGCTTTATTCTTGAATAGAAATTTTATTAAAGTGCTTACAAACTAAAAACATAATTATATTTAATAATGTCCTGAACAATTTCTTTTAATTATACTTAGCCACATTATTATAAACAATTTTACAAAACACTATCAGAATCATCTTCATTATTTGAAGTAAGCAATTATTCTAATTCTGACACTAGGAGATGGAGAGACAGAAAACTATTCAGATTCGCATATAGATAAATGAAGATGTAGAACTCTTCAATTTATGCAGATTAAAATATTGCTGAAATAAAATTATTCTTAGTCATCATTTTTACAGCCCTAAAAGCAGAGGTGCTTCAATTTGAATAGTTTTAAATGTTGCCTGGGATTCTGCACAAGTCTGCACATGACCCCAGAAGTAATGTAATTGTTCAATTAATTTTCTGTCTCTAAACTAATCACCAGCTCATTTTTCATCCTCTAGATACAAAACACAACCAAGAAATACACAATGATTGCATAAATTTCCGAGATACATGAAATCAATAATTTCATACTTTATGAACTTTACCAAGTACTACCATGCTTAATATCGCTCTGTGAAATATTATAAAGATTCAAAAACTGGCCCAATTGAGAAAGGCGTTACATAACAGTAATTTTAGTAAATTTAAGGAAACATTAAAAACTGCCTAGAAAGAAAGTTATAAACTAATTATTATTGTTAGTCTTTCTTTCTAATGGAATATTGTTGACCACTAGGTCTATCACTATTCAATATTTTCTTTCAGCATGTTGAAGAAAGCTAAACTGTTGTTAAAGTTTATGAGACAATGGCTGAAAAGACAGAAATGGAAATGATGAAAAGGAGGCAATAAAAATCAGTCTCATATTTCAATATACCAAAATGTTTCTGCAACTTATAACAAAGCCTCTGGAAAAGCATTGCAGTCACAAATGTTCACAAGTTCTCTTGTGTAATGCAGTGACAAGTATATACCATTTTAAATGTACACGTTAAACTTGTATTTTAAATTCAGTTAGAACAATTGATTTCAGTAAGTATGAGGAAATGTTCTGCAGCTGTCCTCTCTGAGGTATTCCACTTTATTTTTTTCTATAAATTTCTTGCATAGTCAAAGATACCTGATGCTTAAAGCGAACCTAGTATTATTTACACTGACCAGCCTGATATAATTTGCTCAATTTTGTACTGGATCAGTGCTTTTCAAACTTTCTTCTTTCTTCTACATTCTCCTTTCCCTGTGTTTAAGAAAAGGTTTAACCTCCATTTGCAAAACAGAAAATGCCAAAATTTTACATAAGCTGATATATGAGCACAACATAGACACTTAAATATGAACATAACTGCAGAAGTACTTTTTAGTGTTTTTAAGTTTAATAAACAAGCAACTTACCATCATATCTTGCTTTGCTAATTTAATATACAGGTCCACACGCCCTTTATCTTGTGGACAGATATCTAATCGACCACTGAAAGGGGAAATTGTCACCGTTCTTCCAACAGGCAAGATAGGAAGGCCATTGGTAAGGCCACCATCAACCCACTTCTACAGGAAAACAGAAATATTTTCAAAGTAACACCAGTACAGTATGATCACAATGCAATACTTTATCCTTATTGACTCTGCCTCCTTCACTCTCAAGAAAACTTACAAGTTTCCCTCTAAGAATACAATGAAAAACTTCAGTATGTGTCAAATATCAAGGAACTGCCAATGTAAACAGAGATTGGAATCAATGAGCATTTAACATAATGTTCAAATTTGCATTTTAAAAAAGTACTTATAAGACTTTTTTAATTTATTAAAAAATCAAACGCTGCATATGAAATTTTTCTCAATGCATACATGTAAGGACAAGACTGTTAATGCTACACATAATGTATCAGATATTCACCAGATAATGTATACTCCTCTAGAACATTATTCTGATTGACAATAGGAGCTCTAAAATCTGTATGTGCAGGTATTCTGACTGCAGAAGCTAAATCACAAATGACTCCTCTCCTCTTCTGTGATTTTTCTTCCAGAACCTCATTTCTTACATACACTACACAAGACAGCAGTAGCTGGAAAGTGGAAGGTAAAGGTGGGAAGGAGCTGAACAACTATGACATAAGAGGGAGCAGACCTAACCCTGCTGCAGGACTTGAGCATAATGAAGAATGAGATCTAGGTGCCAAATTCCATTCCAATACAAACAAGACAATTGTGATATTTCTTGTTAATGTATTTATACCTTCCCATTTCTTTCTGTGTTACAGGCATAGCCTAAAATTCAACACGGGTCTGCTGGCTAAATGGATTCACTAACAACATCCATGAGGTCTGTTGACCAGATGCATCACACTGATCAGCTGATATATGTATTGCTGTATCTGTAATTCTAAAGCTGACAAGCTTTCTGATGTAATAACTACCTAGCCAGCACCAAATACGTAAGATTTTGTGGGGCTTTTTGGCAGGGGGTCTTAAAGTTATAAAGGTTCTAGAGACATCATCTGTATGAATGGGGAACAGAAGTATCATGTATTTCTCATAAGGAAGAAATAGCCATTTTTATGCTTCTAAAATTATTCTTAAAGTGTTAATATATTTATGCAAGACAAAAAAGTGGTAGGAGCTCGATTGAGTAAAGACAATTGTAAAAATGTTTTCTTATAAGAAACACAAAATATAGAACTGAAGTTGCTTTTCCTTAAGATGAAATAGTTACACCATAAATGAAAAACATACAAAAAGAAAGTTCATTGTTAATGAAAAATTACCTGTCCTTTAAATTCCACTGGCTTAATTCCTGCATACACTGGTATAAAACTACTTGCTAGCAGGACCTAGAGAGAGGAAAGCAGAAAGACTAGAGAAAAAAAAATCAAAAATGGCAACAAACTAATTTAGAACCAATACATATTTCCATACATATCTACCAGTCAATGTAGTAGTTACATAAATCCACTGTCATCTCAAAATGTCTTCTTGGTTTGGTATGTCAAAATGTGATTAAAATTATTCAAAAGGGTTTGGTTATTTGTGACTTGACAGTGACAACTCTCAAAACAAAATATCAAAAATTAACTCAATGATTAACGTGATTCAAGAATATGAACTTAGTTTTGGATAATGTGAAGTAAATCTATGGTTTCCAAGAAATTAAATATGCCTATGATGAAAAAAAGCAATTTATTGTCAAAGAAGAAGCTGACCGATGAAAAAAAGCAATTTATTGTCAAAGAAGAAGCTGACCAAGTCACTCTGTTAGCATATTTATAGTGTTTACTTTTCTAATAATCAGATTTTCAAAGTTTCAAAAATTCACATATGCATACCTTTACCAATGTTTGTATTTGTACACTCAAGTATTAACAAACTACTATTTTCCCTACTATAAGCCTTCATTGCTGTCTATAGCCATTCTTGATTTTTATTTTAATTTTTTTTAGACCAGGACACATCTTCCGTCATGTATAACTGTGTACACACATATACCTTTCTATCCATTCATAGCAACACCTGTGAGAGAGACAGTGTGGGTATCTCTATACCCGTGTATCCACCCATACATATATAAGCAACCAGCATACAGCATTTCCAGGAGAAAAGCTAAATGCATACACAAAGTGCAGTATGTCAGAATTTTTCATACAGCTGAATAGGGTGAATATGCACACGCTTGTGTGGTGCATGGACAACCAATCTGGGGAACAGAAGCAGGTCACAAACTGCTGCATACACTGTGTGAAAGATGAACAGGTGCAGAAAAAAAATCATAATCCATAGAGACTATGAAAACAGAGAAAAATGACTGAGTGTTTTTGGCTGGAATTACATTTACTTTTAAAAAACTTAAGCTATTTTAGTATTAAGACCTTCTGTTTCCCTAACAAGTTTTAATGAAGACTGTATATGTATATGAAGTCTTCAACTTTGACTTTGAGAACTGTTTTCCTGCTTATTTCTCTTCCTAGTGATGTAGAGCTTTGTCTGAGCTCAGATAAAAAGGCTCTCTGTTTTCTAAAGTGAAACTGCAGCTATTTCTCTACCAAACAGGCCTTTCACACACAAAGTCTAAAATAAGATTCCCAAGTTCCCAACATCAACTTCTTCCCCAGCCCTGCACCTTTTCTGCTCTCTTCCTCAACTCCATCTCATCGATTTTGGTCCTTCTAAACTAAGAGAAATGAGGAAAAAGGATTTAGTGAATGGAGTCAAACAATGGAGTCAAACCCAGATGACTCCTGCAAAGTTTGAGTTCTTTTCAAGAGGACTGAAGAAAGCAGTTGCTCTTCTTATAAAATCACTGAGATCTCCTGAGTGAGGAGAGGCAGGACAAGTTTGATGAACAAACACTTTCAATATTTCCCACCACTAACAGACCAGTTTGAACTTCTAGGCACTACCTTACTTTCCCAAACTAAATATAGCAGTGTTCTGTGCCTTGCTCCCTCACAAACACACAAATTGTCCCTCTCTCTCCTCTCACCTCCAGTCTGAGAACTGCAAGTCTACAAATGCTGATACAAGATGATTGTCTTCACATATGGCAAGACTAGTTCAAAAATGGGAGATTATTACCTGCCTTTCCAAGTCCACAGGGAATAGTAAAAAAGATAAAAGCTTAACATTGCAGCAACACACATCCAGTTTAGCCATTATGATGAACTTTGGAACTGTAAGGCTTGGTTGTTAAGCATTGAAGTTGAAAGATTTCTGGCAGGGGGTACAGACATTTTGCTGTTCATAAAATAATCTTCCCAGCAGAACCTTTATCCATGCCTTGGATGTAGGTCATGCCTAGGCATGATACAATAAAATAACATAACAAGCTCTACCCTCCCTGCTCCTGTGGCAGCCACCAGCACTCAGAGAGCTGTACTCATGTTACAGGCAGAGCTGAAGGCATGCAGAAAACCAGCTATTAGGAGCTGGACTGAAAGATCAGACAATATGAATATATCCCAGTGACAAGTTATGTGTAATTTTATTACTATTATTCCAAACCAACTGACTGCTACCATAGAGAACAAAAGAATAGAACAGCAAAGGCTAATCAGTTAAAAAACTACTGAAATACTAGTAAAATGTACATATTTCCAAGGTTATCCTGATGCTTCCCACTGTCTCCAGGTTAGAAGAGTCCACTGCAAAAACACCTAAGAAATAAAAATCTCCACACTTGCTACCATTGCATACTACAGACAGAAATAACAGTGCATAACTTGAGATAAACTCTTCATATAGTTATATTTGCATGACAAAATCCTGTAAATTTTGAGGACTGTCCATGTAGAATATAATAGGGTCAAAATTTTTGAAAATGTACTTTAAAGACAAACTCCCAATACACACTTTAAAGTTTTCTTAACAAGTGTCATTTTTTAAAGTAACTATATTCCGGTAACTATAAAGAATTTGCTCTAAGTATCCACAAGGAGAGAGAAAGAAGGAGTTCCTCCTTACACTAGTTCCTCCTTTATTCTGATATATCTTATAATGTCTTCCACTAAGATACAATCGATTACTAGAAAGAACATCTGCTTCACATGCATCTGAATTGCTCCTACCATCTCTTATCAGCTTATGCATACAATCCTGATCCAAATTTAAAATGTGGCATTCAGATGAAGAGAAGGACAGTGAAAGATATACTTTTCCAGCTACAGTTAAAATGCAGCTTATATACAGTACTTAGCATTACACTGTAACTAGTATCCACACGCACTCATAGGAATTGTTCCATTTTTTTTAAACTTCAATTACTTTTTGTGATACAAAAATTATATCAGTGAAGTAAGAGATGCAAATATTTTTACAACGTTTTGAGATTCTCTACTGTGTTCTCTTATACTGCAACAATTAGTTACCTGTTACTTTTAGAAACACTTTGCCTACAAGGTAGAACTTGAACAACCAGTGAAGGAAACACACACAAACACCTCATAAATTTTAGCAAAATGTGCGAAGCTATAGGATCAAATTCTGCTTTAAACTTTGTTTATATTACAGCTGTAGCACCACTGGGAGTAGACATGGTTACCTGAATAAACCAGTGATTTTACTGTACAATTAATAATATACTCTTAAGCCTTGAAGAAACCCCAGAGTTTTTATTTACAACTGACATATTCAACATTATTACCTTAATGAGGTCCTCCCTGGAGGCAAAATTTGAAACCAAGTGATTTTCCCCACTCTTGGAGTTAGTGACTGACACATAGAGACGGTTCTCAGCTATCTCATGAACATCAGAAGGAAGAATAGACTCTATGCCCTCCCTAGAGGAAAGAAAATGCTCAGCATTACTCACCACTATTATTTAAAAACCTTGCAAATGCATTAGGGGTGAGCACCCCACAGCACAGCAAAAATATGCACTCTCTCCATTTGCATTTGGAGAGCTTTCTAACGCAAAAATGATCTTACAGAAGCATTAAGATAGGTACCTAAGTGTTTTCATAAAATCATAACCAGGTGTTACAGCACCAAAGTTCAATCTTCTGACTTCCTCTGCAAATCCATACGCAAAGTGCTTACATTTCTGGAAATGAAAAGCATTAACCATTAAGGATGTTTAAGTGAAGGGAAGCATGCTCAACTGCAGTACCTAAAATATATTAAAGGCTAAAACTTTAATAAAAGAGTTATTAGATCAAACTGAAGATTTTCCCTTATGTGCTTGGTTTGTAACAAGACATGCACAACAAAATGTTGATCCTTTCCTAAGGATTAATTTGTAAGAAAAAAAAAATCCCTAATGAAAAAAAGAAAAACCTCTGAGGATACCACTCCAACAACCAAGCAAAGTTAAAGGTTATTTATTTTCTATATACTATCACTGCTAAATAATCAGTTCCCCAGATCATGAAATTACAAGATCATTAAGTTCAAAATCTAAAGCCACCTTTTATTTTAAGGTCTACTTCAGAACTTAAAACAGACACAAGTACCTTAAGATGCTTATAAGCAGTAAGAAAAATAAAAATCACAACAATTTCTTCTCATTAAAGCAAAAAACCAAGCTACTAGCAAATACACATACTTAATTAATAAATTCTATGGAAATATTTAATTAATGGAAAACTGTGATGGGTGACATAGGAAGAAAATACACATCAGAAAAGCAGGTAACAGATTCCTGCACAGAGAATCTTTTACACAAGCTGAAATGCCCAGAATTAATGTCTGCAAAAAAATAGCTTGAAGTGTGAGTCACAAGAACTCCAAAGGGACAGCAAAGGAATTGGTATAATTTATTTTTCAGCCATAACATTCTGAAACAACAAATTATGATCCTAAGTGCTTAAGACTCGCTATTCAATATTTGTAATCCCTTTTCTTCCTTTCATGCAGGCTTTTCTAATGATTTTAGGGACTTCAGAAAAAATTCAATCTTATGCAACCTTCTGAAACTGGTACTTTATAAATTCACCCACATTCACCCACATAACCTGAATAAAAGATAGTGTGGGTTTCCTGGATTATTAGGTCTGTGCATAAAGAACAAATATGTTGCTAGTAACAAAATCAATGACTGAGTGACTGAGTAAAGGAAAGGAAAAAAAAAAAAAGAGAGGCATTAATGTATCCCATTGAGGTGGAGAATACAGAATCCATTGAAAGGAAATTAAGGAAGGAGGTAGGGTGAAGATTAACATGATATCAGAGCCAGCTAACTGAAGGAGTAAAACTTCCTCACATCACACATATGACAAAACACTCATATAAGCAAAATACAGAAATGTAGCTCTTGCACCCAACTTTATATGACCTTTGAATAAATGTATCAAAAAGTTCACTAAAAGATTCTTACCTCTTAAAGAAACAATTATTTGTGCTACTTAATTTCACATTGGTTAGATTTGCACCTTTACCACACGAGATACCTGCCACTGCCAGCTCGAAGCCAATTAAAATATATAAGGCACATTCAGACACTTCTATAAATGTAGAAGAAATCCACAAAACCCTAGATAGAAGCACCTCAGAACGACTTTCTCTGTATGTAGATGCTTGAAGTTATGGAGAACTAAGAGTACCAAGCTAGGAAAATGACAGAAAACTACTTTCCATATCACAAATACTAAGAATGGACTGTACCTAGACTCTCAGTTTCTGTTCTCAAAAGGGACAATGTCTTACAGCTATGAATTGTTTTAGAATCTGAGTGCTAGAAGCTTTAAACAATACATGTACATTTTAAATAATGACTGAGGCCATGTTTAGAAATTGTAAATGCTTCTGTTGAGTTAAGCAAACCTGATATTAAACGTGACCAAGGTAATTTTAAAATAAATAGTTATTTACCTATAACTAAATAAGCCTACTTAGAATTCTCAAGTCCCACACCTTTACAAACAGTGACAAAAATCCAATATATGACAGAAAAACATTTGGAAACTGTCTTAGAACAGAAACAGTCAAAACAATAAATCTTCAATGTTACTTTCTCTCCAAGAGAAGGACAGGTTGCATACAGCTTTGAGAGCAGGAGATACAGAAAGTCCTAATTATGGCCTACCTAATATTGCCATCTCTGGGGGAAGGGGTGTGGGGTAGGGGAGAAAAGAAAAAAAAAAATTAACTGATTAGGAGATACATTTGTGGATATAAAATATTTCACACTAGAAACATAGTAAATATAATAATATAATTATCCTCATATGCAAAGTTAATTCTATTCAGTACAGAACACCGCCTTTACTTAAATTCCATGAGAATTCCCACTGACAATAGAACTCCCAATTTTTCATTTAAACACTGTAACAGAATAACTAAAAAATACACAAAAAATGAAACTACTAGAAAGTTCATGAAGCTTTCTTTAGCTTGTAATAATATGACAAATACAACAGACTCAATGTAATATAGACTTAGCTTCCACAAACAAAAACCAAAAACTGTTCAATAGTTTTACTTAGAAAGATCTTTGTAAGTTGGACCAAGATGAGAACAAGGGTTCATACCCAGGGTCTGCAATAAGCAGAAAAATTTCCCTGGGCTAACAAAGGGCTGCCATGCTCACCACAGAGGAAATTAAAGTCAGAGGTACACATTATACCAGGCAAACGTGAAACTGAACTACCAGTCAGAGGTGACAGAAGGAGAGTAATGCCTGCACAGAATACAATGAGGTTCTCTCCACAACAGAGTGGAACTTGCTTAATACCAAGTCATATAAAGAATGCTTGCAGGGGAGTGGGATGGGAGAAAGAAGCCAGGGAGAAACCAACTGCTGAAAGCAACGGAAGTATAGTTAATGCTGCAAGCTGAGCTCTTATCTCAGAAGAAACAACCAACAAACAAACAGAAAGATCAGTGGCAAAGTGGGGTTTGGCTGAGACTATTTAAATTTCATTAAATGAAATTAAATGAGCAAGGCCTAGAGGAATTATCAAATGCCCACTTGGAACAAAACCTAAGTGTAACTTAGATGAAAAATCTAACAGGCTGTTTTCCCCACAATAATTAAAAATAGTAAAGAAATACTAACATTTTGGCAATGCCTGGTCCTCTACATTTATTAAGGTGAAGTCACTACAGACAGTTCAGGAGGGCAAAGCAACCTTAACCTGTGGGGAAAACCAAGCAAACAGACACCAAAAAAAAAAAAAAAAAAAAAAAAAAACAAAATGCTCTCCAAGAAAACAGACACCAAAAAAACCCCTAATGCTCTCCATGGAATCTATAATCACTGAATAGAACCTTGGTGTCTTTGCAAGACACTATATGCATTGTGAGAAGGGAGTGGCATCTTTGGAGATGAAACAACCCAGACATATGTCAGAGCAGAATGCTGTAAGGGTTAATCCTACTGGCTGCTCTTAAGGCATGGGCTGCACTGAGTCTTAAGGGGATGCAAAAGCTTTTAATGCTGCTCCGTGGAGCACAGGCAGAAAGAAAAAGATCTGAGCAGGTGGGAGCTGTTTATGAAGACATACTCCATCTGCCATTTTCACCTCCTTTCAGAAAAGGTTAGAAGGGTAGTGCTATGCACTTGCTTAACAAAGCCTATCTCTAACCAACAGAACAATGATTCACTTTGCAACATACCATCATTAAGTACACATTTTGGTATATTAAAGTACACCTATTGCCTACAAATTACGATTCACGAACATGAGAGTTGTATTTACAAAGCTTAAAATATAAGGTTCATATGAAATATTTTTATCATTAACATTTTTGCTCATGAGTCACAGATATGGTTAATGAAAACATGATACAAGAGTCCTGTTGCTAGCAAGTAACAAGAAAAAAAACCAAAACAAGACACAAAACAGTTTAATAAACTCAATGGAAGATGATTATATTAAAAAGTGTCCTTTGAAAATTATCATGGCCTATACCTACGAGTTTATGAAATTACCTCTATATTTTCTGGCACTGCTAACAAGACAGCGGCAGCCAGAGATCCCGCAGAAGCTCCCGCAAAAGCTTTCACATCTCTCAGTAACTTCTTACCATGCTTGTGAAAAGCAGCTGCTGCCCCCAAGTGGTAAATGCCCAGAAAGCCACAAGCTGCAAAGGACAGGTTGATGTGTCTCATTTGGGCTGTGGAAACAGCATGTCACAGTCAGTCTTTTGCAATTTGTCTTACAATATACTTTTTTTTTTGTTTTGCATAACACACTCTAACTATATAAGAAATGCGAGTTATTTGAGAACAGTAAAAGCTTTTGATTACTAAAGAAATCAAACAATCAGCAGTTAGTTTAGTATCTCCAAAACTGAAAACAACTCTAAAATAATCCTTAGTACAAATCCCTTTTTAAATCAATCAAAAATATATATTTTATATATAACATAACTAAATATTTTATCTGATTTGTCAAAGAGTATCTACACAAAAATGGTGAAAGAATACTTTGGAAAAACATTGTTAGCCACCTTTATCAAAAAATCAAATTAATTATAAAACTGCTGGTTAGTGTCTCATCATGTAGTGACAGGACTGGGAAAATAGATTCAAACTGAGAAAAAGTTAAGACTGGATATTAGGAAGGAATTCTTTACTGTGAGGGTGGTGAGGCACTGGAACAGGCTGCCCAGAGATGCTGTGGATCTCTGGCAGTGTTCAGAGCCAGGCTGGATGGAGCTCTGAGCAGCCTGGCCTAGTGGGAGGTGTGCCTGCCCATGGCAGGGGAGCTGGAACGAGATGATCTTTAAGGTTCTTCACAGCCCAGGGCATTCTGTGGTTTTCTGATCATACTCCTCCTTACACAAAGCAGAGCCTTGAATCCATTATAATTCTCTAAGAGGACTTTTTTCTGCCATCTTTGAAACTTGTTTGCTTACTAGAATTATTAATATACAAATTTTTTAAATAGTTGTTAGTTAATTACTAAGAAAAACGAAATACATATTTTTGCTACTATTAAAATAAGAAGGAATAATAAAAAAAACCAAAGTAAAATACAAAGCAATAAAAGTAGGAAAACACACACATGCTGCAAAGGTGTCTGGGGTAGAAATTTAAAATTAACAAAAAACTCCACAAATGGGAAGCATAAATTCAGATTATTGGAGGTAGTTAATTAAATACACAAAACAGAATGCTGTGCAATTTATTAGCTCTTCTGTTTCTGCAAGTAACTTCATCATGAAAGCAAGGTATTCTGCAGGTTGTATTTTACAGATGTAAGAGATATTGTACACATAATCTTAGTATTGAATTAAAAATAACCCCCTACTGTACTTGGGTTCATCTCAGTATGAATAGGAATAAAAGACAGAAACTGTTGTATCAGTCCTGACGAAGAGAGGCAAACACATACAGCACCACATTTTTGTTAAAGATACCTCTTCATCTCTGAAATGGGAAGGTCAGGAAAGATGAGGATAAGAAACAGCTTTCAAAACCATTAGATAAGAAGACATGCTAAACTCAAGTGCTTTACCCACAGCATGATTAAAATCAGACCTTAGGATCTGACCAGGTTTGCTATTTTACTGAGAGAGCATCTCATAGTGCCAGGAAATATTTGGTGCACGAGTCAGTCTGCTAAAACACGGAGTTTATCAACTGTGCTGGAAATGTTCCCATACCTACTTGTAAGTAGGAATATTTGCAACAAATCTAACACACTTGTCCTGATAGAAAGCACTAGAGGTTGGCTCTTGCTGTGCCAATAGGAAAGACATTTAGAAAGAAGAAAGTCATAATTTGATTTACTATTTTTGCAGAAAAGATCTTTTAATTTAAAGAAAAGTCCCATGTACTTAATAGAAGGTAAAAAAGTTTACTAAAAATACTACTGGAAAACAACAAACACAACTCTACTTTGGTTTTTTTTTTTTTAATAGAGTGGAAGAAAACTGAAAAAGTCTTTGAAGTATGATGCCATGATATGCTTCCCTGCAGGATAGTTAAACTCTTGGGAGTTTATCCAGATGCTGCAGCTGTCTCCATACCTTCTAGAAATTAGGAGCAAAGATGCATTTGCATCACAGGTTGCTTTGACAAAAAGATGAAGCTGGTTAAAGCAACTGCATTCTTACATAAGTATGGAAGAATCAACTCCCATTTCTGTGCGAAATAGATCTCAAAATCAAAACACTACTAATATGAAGCATTATATGAAATAAAGATTATGTTTACATAGCTGACTGGTCAAAAAGTATGCAAAGTACAAGTTCACAAATCCAAAGAATTACAGCTAAGGGGCATATGAAATGTAATTAAGAAATGCAAGTGTAAGATAATAAGGTTATGTAAATCAAAATAAGTATATGGATGCTTATGTACATGTATACACACATTTAAACCTTCTACAAGGCTCTTACTACAAAAAGTATCTCTCTGTAGGAAAATAATGAAATGTTCACAAATAAAAAAAAAAAAAGATGAGAACTACAGAGAGTATCTAAAGTGTGGTTACAGTAAAAAAAATTTAGATTAAAAGGGTTTTTTTAAAAAAAATCAATTCCCTACAAATGTGGGAGAAAATATCACACAATTTTATAAAGAAGTTCCTGGTGCATTTTCTCTAAAGCAAGAATAGAAAAGGACGTTATGTGATCTGAGGAAACTATTTGAATCTCAGATTAAAAACTAGTGAACATATCTCACTAAAGTCAGATATCCATACCTCCTCTTACACACCTTCATGAGGAAATTGTAGTTTCTTAGACAAGCTTTAGTCCTATCTAATTATCACCTACTGGGAGTAATCACTGTTCTCTTTTCAGTGCCTGGATATACGACATTCACTTTTTCATGTGAGTTAATGTCTTAACACTTACATCCCACACTTTTCTGACTCCTTCATTCCACTACCCAAGAGTCAGAAAGAAAGATTCTTGAATGAGGATTCATATAATTTACTCGACTGACAAAAGGATTCAGTGAGAGAACAGACAAGAAGAAAAAACAGCACTAAGATTTCAAATCAAGGAATACTGTTCTAGAATGCTGCTAGTCTCATACTCTGTGAAGAGTAGACTAATTTCAAGTCCAAAAAGATTAAATTAATACAAAGGTAAAAATAAGGTAATTTTTTTACTTTTAGTGAACAGAAGTACTTGACCCACTGGATTTGTATGGCTTGCAATACAATACACTGTTTTACAGATTCCCCAAGAGAACCTCAAATTAAGAGTAGCAATAGCATAGATCTGTTACCCAGACACAACATTTTTATTAATTAGTACCGATTCCCAGGTATACATTAAGTATTTGTCATATACACAAAAAAAAAAAATTAAAATTACTCATTACAAATGTTAATTGGCAGATGACATTCATGCTGAAATGATCCACTGGCTACATCTAGTTTCATGACTGAGAAATGGGTTATGCACATATTTCCATCAAACCTTTAATTGGGTAAACAATGAGTAGGCATAATCACTGAATCATTCAAGTGACTTCTTGCCCAACATTCTTATGCTTAAAACATGGTCAGTTATCATATCAAATTTGGTTGCTCAGGGCTGTACCCAGTTGTTAACTTGAAAATCTTGCAATGTTCAGCTCCTAAGTGATACCTAGCATTTGTCAGTTGCTGGGTGAAACAATCAGGTCTTCTTTCATTTTTCAGAATATTAAAATCAGTAGAGTATTGGAAATTCCCAGCATTACAGAGAAGAAACAAAACATTAACATCTTCAATCCTCCATCCACCTGCAGAACAGTGGGTGGAACTGAGGGCTCTTCAACAAATCTGTAAAAGAGCACTTAACCTACAAAGGATGCAGATGATGAAAATGAAACAGATAAATAAGAATCATGGTTCTATAAGGAACCTGCTTCAGTTAAGATACAGTTAAGCTATGTTGTTTAACCTTGCAAATGTATCTTGGAATAAGAGGAAAAGGTAGGAAAGCATTTTTTAGATGAATGTTTTGTAAAATCAGAAAGGAAAGTAATAGGAAACCAGACACTTTTAAAAAAGAATTCGTGCAAATATGTCATGGCATCACTCAATTTGCAAGTTATAATAGTGTATTTCAGTCAAAGCATGATTCAAAAATGTCTTTTGCTTTGATTATATGATAGATCACTGCCTTTTTGATCAAAAATGTATAGTATTATAAAAACTCCAAAGAGGAAATGGATAGAAATTTCATTAAGTAAACATTGTGAATATTCCCTGACAATTTCTTATAAAGTAACAGAAATAGGGTATTGTCACCTGTGGACACAAACCACTTCCTTCAGCTGCTGGAGCAGAAAGCAGAAATCTTGCTATCTTAGACATAGTATGAACAGCTGTTCCACAAGACTTCAAAACAAATATTCTTAGAGAGTTTACCATAAATTGTGACTATTAAGAATATTAACACCTATTAACACCAAGTTGTCATGTTGGCATGTCTTAAGAAAACATTTCAATGAACCTTGAAGATGCACAAGTACATTTCAGCTGGACAGTGTACATAATGTATGACATAAACAGGACAGAACAAACACTTCTGCCACTGCTTTTCTAAAAAATGTTGTCATCTTATATGATTGACAAAATTCAAAACACAAAGATTTCAACTGGCCAAGGGGATAGAAATGCTTCTGTTGTCTACAAGAGAAAGAAGTGTAAGAAAATATATGTAAAAGAATAACACTGGGGCTGTTGAGTTTCATTATTTTGCAGATAATGCAGGAGCATTCAGGAACAGACATAAACCATAGAGTTCCCTTTAAAAAATTACCACATCTGCAGGAAAAAAGCAACCCACCGGTGATTAAAAATCTGAAGGGTGTGGGCATTTCTGTTTACTCAGCAGTATCTCATCCATTTTGTAATGCAAACCTTCAAGAGAATGTATTTAAGAAGACAAGGCTGTGCAGAAAAATTATTATACAGTACCACACAGCTTTCTGAGAACAGGTACTGTATTCCTGATTGTCATGCACATGAAATAGCACAACAGTTTCTCACAGGGCTGTCTCCTGAACAATGTAATTATATACACATTGTACCATCTCAGTGTCTTAACCTGTCATAACTACCTCCTCCCTGTCATCCCCCTTATAAACAAAAGCTGAAAATGCCAAAAGCAACTGAGTACAAATACCTTTACAAAAAAAAAATCTGAAAATATATAGAATGCAAAAGACCAAGCACCCTGAAGCACAGAAAGGAAAATGTGTGACGCATAACAGCACATCTGAGGATAACTTATTAGCAAAGAGTGACAAAACAAGCAAAGTCAAAGAAAAAACTGTTTAGCTTGGCAGCATTGCTAAAATAAAGGTCATAAAGGTAACTACTGATTTACCTGAAACAAAAATCACCACTGACACAAAAATGGTTGGTTTTTCACATTTCTAATGGGAAAAAAGTGCACTAGCATAACAATTCACAGCCTTCAGTGAATATAAGTTTGATGAAGTTGAAGAAAAAAAAACAATAAGGACTCAATCTAACCATCCATTAAGAACCTTAAGAAAGTCACGAGTCTTTGCAAAATATAACATTTGCATATAATCCCCTTAAAATTAAAAAGAGAAACACATCACATGATAGAAAACTTTCTAATTAAGATTCTAGACCTTGATCCTTAAGAGGTCAACAGAGGGGCAGGGAAGGCTAACTTCTTCAGAAGAGGGTGGCAAAAGGTTCAATACCTTGTAATGAATGTTGTCTTCCATCACAAACTCCACTGGTACTTTTTCCAACAGCTATTTCGGTTCCCTCTGCACTAGTAGCCATTTTTCTATCAACTACTGATTGTTTATCATTTATCTTGGAAACCTACAATCAGAGAGTCAGACATATTAAGATTAAAAAGAAAAACAATGGCAATATGACATTATTTGACAGTAAGGGTTGAGTCATCTAGATGAATTTTGCAATTGCTTAGCCAACATGAAATTAGTTCAAACCTCAACGTTCCACAATTTATACCTGCAGCAGTTTATATTTTAAAGATGAATTTAACTAGATATTGGAAAACACTGCCATTTGGATATGCCAGTAGCGAAAATGAGCTTTATTTTGTGTCCTTTACCACTATTTTTACTTATATCTACAGATTTTTTTTATAATCAAACACTTCTTTATAATTAAAATCTTCCCTTAACCATACATTTCCTCCCTACCCTCTGTTGCACAACATTTCATCTGTAAGTCATTTTTCAGAGAATTCTGGTCCTATTCCTCACTCAATGATTGTCACTCTAACTAATCAGCCTGTCAGTTATCCTGCACTACTGTTCAGAGTACAGTTGGAAGAAAATTAATGTTTCTGCCCAACTTAGAACTATTAGACTCAAAAATTCACTCTGAAACACTGGTACTCTAGCACTTATTTCTGCCTGCCCCTTTACCTTGATAAACTGAAGACATCTTCAATTCATAATTACTACTGCAAAATCAAAAGCTTAGCTCTGTAGAGCCTAAAATAAATTATTTTATCACTGTATTTATGCACACCACTTATATCTTTAGAGAATCACAAAAATACTTACCTGAAATTTAACTCTGTTATGTGGCACTCTTAAAGTGCAATAGCTTGGAATTCCAATCCAGAATTGCCAAGTTCTGGGAAACATGCAACTACATAATTGGCATTCTTTCATCTGGAACAACAGTATTTGAGTGCTACAAAGCTTTCTGGAAGTCCACATTTTAGTAAAAGTGATCTCTGGATCCAGATGATGTGGTAATCAAATAGATACTCGAAGAAGCTCATTTACCGTGAAGTTACAAACCAAGTCATAAAAGCACTCCGCAGAAACTCTCTTTTAAGCATAACCTGTTTAAAAGACATTAGGAAATGAAAGAAGTAGTTGAAAGGTTCACATCAAGGCCTTGATATTGTAACAGGGCCCTCCTCACACCCATCCAACCCCAAAAACACAGAGGCATTAACAGCTGATTCCCTTCACAGTGAAACAGTTTTGCTCAGTAGCTCTCTCCCTCTCACCAGCCCCCATCTGGTACCGTGTTGTTCACCACCGACTATAAAGTCAAATGTTCACTTCACAGACAGGAAGAACTAAAATTGTTAATAGAGGAGAAGCCCAAGTGAGCAAACTCTCCCTGAACAACATAAACATACTGCCGTTCTACCTCAGCTGAAAACTGTGGATGCAGTGATCCAGCAACTTCAGAACTTGTTTCTAAACAAAATGACGATGTCAAGACCCCAGTAAGACACACTCCAGTATGCTGGCTGGTACAGGGCAAGCCTCGTCATCTTCTCCGTCACTAGGATAGCATAGGGGTTACTCACAGGTGCAAGCCTGGTTTCCACCTTGACCATAAAGAAACATGTATGGAATTGTGCTTGTTCAGACGAAAAGCAGGCTCCTGCCTGACCACCACTGCAAACAACACCACCGCGAACACCACTGTTGGAAAGGATGGATCACAGCGTTCCGTACACACCACCACCGCAAACCACCACCACTGTGACCCTGTGCCGGCGAGATCTCGGCAAACACCACCAACTTCCAACTTAATCCCGAACAGTAAGCGAGTGACTTAAAGGTGTTCTGTTTCATCTCGTGCGCCAAGACATCAGGCCTGTGGTGTACCTGGAGTTTTCCTACCTCCACTTTTGTTCAGCAAAAAAAACAAACAAACAAGCAAAACAGCCGAAACAGCGAGATAAGTTTTTTTTTAGAGCTAGCAAACACAGAACGTGAAGTGACAACCGCGGGGCGCAGTGCCCAAGTGCAGCCACTGCGCCGTCTAACCTTGGACACTTACAGCAAGCGGGCGATTCCTACGCGGGACACGGCCCTCCCGAAGCCAGTCACCCCAACCCCGTCCCGACCCCCGCTGCTCCCCGCAGGCCGAGGGGCCAACGCACCGTGCCCGCCTCGGCCCCACCTCCCGGCAGCGGCCCCGCGGATCGCGCTCGGCACCGGGAGGTCACGGCGGGCCCTGCCCGGCTCCGCCCTGCCCGGCCTCACCCCCCGCGCCTGCGCAGTGCGGGCCCGGCCGCGCTGGGAGGAGCGGCGGGGCCGGGCCCGCGGCCGGGGAGGCGGCACCGCCCCGCCCGCGGCACCGCCCGGCCCGCGGCACCGCCCCGCCCTCGGCACCGCCCCGCCCGCGGCACCGCCCCGCCCTCGGCACCGCCCCGCCCGCGGCACCGCCCCGCCCGCGGCACCGCCCCGCCCTCGGCACCGCCCCGCCCGCGGCACCGCCCCGCCCGCGGCACCGACCCGCCCGCGGCACCGACCCGCCCGTGGCACCTCCCGGCCCGCGGCACCGCCCCGCCCGCGGCACCGACCCGCCCGCGGCACCGACCCGCCCGTGGCACCTCCCCGCCCGGCCGGCGGCGCTGGGTGTGCGGCGGGCCCGGCCCCGCTGGGGGCTGTCGCTGCTGCCGTGTGGGCGGGTGTCCGCACCCTCAGCAGCGGCCTTGTGCAGCGCTGCGCGCCGTGTAACCGCGTCCTGTTGGTGACGAGGTGGCCTCAGGGCAATAAAGATTATAAAGATTACTTTTTTTTTTTAAATTTTCTCCCCCTCTTTTTTATTTTCTTTTTGGTCAATGTTTCCGCTTTACGAAGGTGAGCCCACTCACCTTCTGTCAGGCCAGAGCCACAGCAAACACCCAGATTGAAGATTCAGATGGATCCTGCGGCCAGCAGTGGAGGAGGAAGCCATGCTGAGGGAGGGCAAAGGTGCCTGTGGAACAGAAATGTGAACTCTCCCTGGAGTCCGGCTGACTGTGGTTCAAACTAAGCTTGTAAATAAACACTATGTTAAGACTTCACACAGATTTGTCTCCTCCACCTGCAGCATCCACTCTCTGTGCTTTTCTAGATGCTGGGATGGATTTGGGATAGAATGAAGTGCAGCTGTGTTGGTGGAACCTTGGCACCTTGTACAGGTCTGTTCACAGTTTAGCCAGTCTTTCAACTGCTAAAGAGCAATAGTTACAAAACAGAGCTCTCGGACTGTCTTACAGCAAAGACACGCTCCTGTGGAGCTACTGCCTGCTGATTTCATCATCCTGCACTCTTTCCCCATGTTTACAGGATGAGATTTTAGATGAGAATGCCAGATGAGACCTAGTGGTGAAAAAAAACCCCATTTGCCTTAATTATAGCCAGAGTTCTAATTTTTAGAGGTCAGTACTATCATTAGGACCACATTTGCATCTAAATTAATACTTGGTTGACAGCTGTGGCAAGTCACAAGCATGTCAGGAGGACCCTTCTTATTCTTTTAGATGTGGACTCACGTACATTAGTTAGCCTCTTGGTCCTTCTGTTCTGTGTCTGGTCTGTTAATGAATTGGAAAATATATGCTGTAGATGAAGCTTTCTGAGTTGGTGACAAACCTTAAATTGAGGTAAGTTACAAGTATAAACACAGCAAGTAATTGTGAAGGACAACAAATGAGATGGTGTCTCACATATAGCAGCTGGTACTCAAAGTCACAGAATTGTTGGGGTTGGAAGGAACCTGTGGAGATCATTCAGTCCAATCCCCTTGCCAAGGCAGATTCACCTGAAAGAAGTGACACAGGAACAAATTGAGGTGGGTTTTTCAGAGTGGGAGACTCCAGAACCATCCTGGAGATGGACAAATCTGTTCCACTGCTTTGTCGCCCTCAACGTAAATAAGTTCTTTCTCAAGTTGAGGTGGTCATAAAAGAGAAATATTCATATATTCATGTCTTCTTTGGCCTTCAGACTTCTGAAGGGCATTGAGGTGCTGGAGCATGTCCAGAGAAGGGCAGTGAAACTGGTGAAGGATCTGGAGTGTATGTCCTATGAAGAGTGGCTGAGAGAGCTAGGGTTGTTTAGCCTGGAGAAGAGGAGGCTCAGGGGAGACCTTATCACTCTGCACAACTGTCTGAAATGAGGTTGTAGCTGGGTGGGAGTCGGCCTCCTCTCCATTACACCAGTGACAGGATCAGAGAAAATGGCCTTAAGCCATGCCAGGAATTTCTTCATGGAAGGGGTTGTTAAGCATTGGAATAGGTGGCCCAGGGAAGTGGTGGAGTGAGTGTTCCAGAGGATGTTTAAGGAAATTCTGGGTGTGGCACTCAGTGCCATGGTCTGGTTGTCTCAGAGGTCTTTTTCAGCTTCATTGATTCTGTGATTCTTTAGCTCCCTAACCCAAACTCAGTCCCATGGATGGCGAGACATAATCAGACTCTTATCCTTCAAGTGTCAAAGATTATTTCATCTGCTGTGTTTAGATAAATTTATCCATATTCAACCTTTTTATACCATGACATGCATCTTTCGTTCTTTGCTCCTTTAGCAGTTGTTCTTTGGAATTCTCTAGAATTTTCTTAAGAATAAAGTGCACAAAAGAAATCTTAGATGAGCTGCATAAATGTTTAAACGGCTTTACAACATGGTGTAAATGTTTGTCATGGCTGTTTGTCAGAGCAGGTATTTTGGAGCACCCATATATTTAAGGAAGAAGGCATTTAAAAGTGTATGCAAAATCATTTCCTGAAATAGACTAAGCTAAAGGAGCAAAAGGAATTTTCAGTAAGAGCACTTCAACTTAGTTATATATTTGTTTAGCACAATTAAGCTGGTTACTTGGTCTACTACTAACTACTACAGTAGTTAGACTACTGTACTGTGTCTCTGTCAGTAGGACTGAATTCTTACTTCAGAAATTTGAGGCCCAGATGGAAAATGAGGAGACATATAATGAAAATCATTGAGAATCAAACTTAACTTAAAGGTTTTCTTTTATTACTGACAATGATGCTGTGTGTATAATTCAGAAGTAGACATGTAAAAATATATCTCTTCAATAAGCTCTGTAGAATAATTTTTAATGGAGAGGATGCAAGATTCATGGATAGGTTTCATTAAAGGGTTTAATGCAGTTTTTTACAACATTACTTCAAATTGGCCTTTATCCAAATGCTGATTGATGGATTGAAATGTTTGAGGAAATATGATGATTTATGGTATTATATTAAGATTTATGACAGAAATGTATAGTGGTGCATCACAAAGAAGAGATTTTTTTTGTAGGATAAGCATAAGAATAGTGCTGAGAAACTGATAGTCAAAGCTATGGGTTTGGCTGGTGAGCATTGAAAACTAATTCTTTTCTTTATCACCCTTATCACCTTCATCCCAGTGCCAAAATAGAGTGTGAGTCCTTCTGTCCAGAAGTCCATGCAAGTGCCTGTGCCTGAGGATACCAGGTCCATTGCTGAAGATATGCAACCATGGCTCAGAATTCTGAGGAAAATGCTAAGTTGCAGGAGAAAAAAAAAAAATAGCTATAAGAAGGTCTGAAGAGGAGATTAATGTGAGACGAGAAAGCTGAAATTTCAGACAGGGTAAGACAAGGGAAAGCACTGACATGGGCAAGTATAAAATCATCAAGAAAATACAGGATGTCAGAGGGAGGCATGACTGTGGCTGTGCTCCAGGGAATTGTAGGAGCTGCCCTTTCTCCTTCCTGACTTTTGCCTGCCTGGCTAGCAGAGACTCTGCATGTGTAATAAAAGGTGGTGAGCACATTAATACCTAACCCAGTAGTGATAATTTGAGTATAATAACCAATAAATTATTTTTAACTTCTGAGCATGTCCTGTTCACAGAATCACTTTATTCTTGGCTAAGGTGTCCAAACAGGAACACAAAGAGGAATGACAACAGGACACAAAAGCTGACAGTTAAAGCATTTGTGGCAATTTTACCATCAAAACTTCAGTTCAAAAGAAAATATGTGCTCCCAGATAAAAAAAAAAAAAAAAAAGAAAAAAAAAAAAAGAAAAAAAAAAGATGGTTTTGGAAGGAGACTGGTGATGCTTGATCCAGCCAGGAAGTCAAGAAACATTTTCAGAAAACAATCGAACAGGTGAAACCACAAAACAAAACAGAGACTCAGTATTGCCAAGGGATTAATTGAGGAAAAATAATCAATTAAAAAGTTCAAGGAATCATTATAAATCTGCAAATATTTAGCAGATTTTTTCATATGTTGAAAATTTTCCTTAGAATTTTCCTAGTAATCTTGTGACCTATTGAACATAACATGCGAATATTTAATAAAATTGGGAACAATCACAGCAGGGCTAGTGTGTTTGTACTTTTGTTCTTTTTCAGTTTTTTTTTCTTCTGTTTTTGCTTGCTTTTATCATAGCTGAAGCCACATATCTAATTGAGAATGAATATTTTTTTCAGGCAATCTAGAATTGCTCTTTGTTCTTTAATAGCCTCCAAATAAAGGGGGGTTTACATCCCAAAGGTATGTATGTTATTTGATATTGAGTTATTTTCCACAAACATTCATATAGCTCATTAAAAGGCCAGCAATGTTTTTTTCCTTGTTGCTTCTCATATAACCAGACAGTTTGATATTTTCCCACTCACTTTTTGACATCTTGGGTGGGATTTGTCAAAGGAATGCAAGCGTGGGATACAGTCTAGACATGGCTATTTGAGCTAGTCATTCTAAGCTGCTTCAATGGTCAGCAAAGAGAAAAAGACACTTTTGGAAAGGAATTAATTTCAGCACAGAGTACACTTTTGAAATATGTTAGATGCATCATTCTCTAAAATGGCTTATTTTTCTATATTGACATTGAGGAAAGTCTGAGAAGACCACCTCAGAGGTAAATGATTGAAGTTTTGCAAAAGGAGCCTCTGTCCTGGCAACAGTGTAGACTCTTTGGGCTGCCAAATGCTGAGTCTGCCATTTCTAGAAATTCTGAGATGAGATGAATTACTGTCTGGAAGCCAGAGACCAGA